TAATGCAATGCATTGCCTCTGGGACCTGACACCTCTCCCATTCCCCCAGGGTCTCATAGGAATAATAGCATCATAATAATAATAGAAATAACAACCTTTACCCGCCACGTGTTGCTGTGGCCAACCTTCCCTCTTTCTCTCCTTCTTTCCCTCCTTCCTTCCTTCCTTCCTTCCCTCCCTCCCTCCCATCTTTCCTTCTCCTCTTCCTTCTCTATCTCTTTCCTTCCTTCCCCCTTTTTCTTTTTCTTCTGGTCTCATCTTTCCTTTTCTTTTCTTTTCTTCTTCCTTCTTTCTCTAACTTTCCTTCCTTCCCCCTTTTTCTTTACCTCCTTTCTCTTTCTTCCTTCTTTCCTTCCTTCCTGTCTTTCCTAGATTTTGACAGGGCGGGAAGGGGCGGGGTGGGGTTTGGAGGTGGCGTGAAGTAAAAGGAGGTAAGATTGGGGGGGGGGAGTGATGGAGCGTGGGGTTGTGTGTGTGTGTGCGGGGGCGGGGGGAGTGATGGAGCGTGGGGTTGCGTGTGTGTGTGCGGCGGCGGGGGGAGTGATGGAGCGTGGGGTTGTGTGTGTGTGTGCGGCGGCGGGGGGGTGGGGGTTGCGTGTGTGCGTGCGGCGGCGGGGGGGGTGATGGAGCGTGGGGTTGCGTGTGCGGCGGCGGGGGGAGAGTGGGGTTGCGTGTGTGCGTGCAGCAGCGGGGGAAGTGATGGAATGTGGGGTTGCGTGTGTGTGTGCGGTGGCGGGGAGTGGGGTTGCGTGTGTGTGTGCGGCGGCGGGGGGAGTGATGGAGCGTGGGGTTGCGTGTGTGTGTGCGGCAGGGTGTGTGTGTGTGCGGGAAGCGGCGCGGCGGGGCTTGGAGTGGGCATGGTTTCCGCAGAGGGAACGTTGGCCGGAAGGCCATGTGCGCGCGCGATGGAACTTGCGGCTGGGCGCCAATGCGCATGCTCAGTTGTTTTGCCGTTTTGTGAGTGTGTTGTGTTGTTTTTCATTTTGAGTAGATATGTTTGTACCTTGTGGGTTGTGTTATGGGCATGGGAATTGTGGTTAAGTTTCGTTGGGGTTTTTTTGAGTTTTGTTCTTTTGCCGTTTTGTGAGTGTGTTGTTGTGTTGTTTTTCATTTTGAGTAGATATGTTTGTACCTTGTGGGTTGTGTTATGAGCATGGGAATTTTGGTTAAGTTTCGCTGGGGTTTTTTTGAGTTTTATTCTTTTGCCGTTTTGTGAGTGTGTTGTTGTGTTGTTTTTCATTTTGAGTAGATATGTTTGTACCTTGTGGGTTGTGTTATGGGCATGGGAATTTTGGTTAAGTTTCATTGGGGGATTTTTGAGTTTTGTTGTTTTGCCGTTTTGTGAGTGTGTTGTTGTGTTGTTTTTCATTTTGAGTAGATATGTTTGTACCTTGTGGGTTGTGTTATGGGCATGGGAATTTTGGTTAAGTTTCGTTGGGGATTTTTGAGTTTTGTTGTTTTGGCATTTTGTGAGTGTGTTGTTGTGTTGTTTTTCATTTTGAGTAGATATGTTTGTACCTTGTGGGTTGTGTTATGGGCATGGGAATTTTGGTTAAGTTTCGTTGGGGGATTTTTGAGTTTTGTTGTTTTGCCGTTTTGTGAGTGTGTTGTTGTGTTGTTTTTCATTTTGAGTAGATATGTTTGTACCTTGTGGGTTGTGTTATGGGCATGGGAATTTTGGTTAAGTTTCGTTGGGGGGTTTTTGAGTTTTGTTGTTTTGTCGTTTTGTGAGTGTGTTGTTGTGTTGTTTTTCATTTTGAGTAGATATGTTTGTACCTTGTGGGTTGTGTTATGGGCATGGGAATTTTGGTTAAGTTTCGTTGGGGGGTTTTTGAGTTTTGTTTCCTCGTTGGATGCCCCTAACAAATTTATATATATATATATATATATGAATGCTCTGTGCGTAATGAGTACCCTAAAAACATAAGAACCAATGAACGAAATCACACCAACTTTGGCAACAAAACGTCTCACTACACAAGGAGTGGCCATCACTCCAAAAAATTATGATTTTGTCATTTGGGAGTTGTAATTGCTGGGATTTAAAGTTCACCCACCATCGATGGAATTGAGCCAAACTTGGCACACAGTTCTCCCATGACCAACAGAAAATACCGGAAATGTTTGTTGGGCAGTGTCCTTTGGTTTTGGAGTTGTAGTTCACCTACATCCAGAGAGCAGTGGTGATTCAAACAATGATGGATCTGGACCAAACTCTACATGAATACTCAATATGCCTAAATATGAACACTGGTAGAGTTTGGGGAAAATACAATCTTGATATTTGGAAGTTGTGGTTGCTGGGATTTATAGTTCACCTACAATCACAGAGCATTCTGAATCCAACCAACGATAGAATTGGGCCAAACCTACCACACAGAACCCCCCATGTGGGCCACAGCAACGCGTGGCAGGGGATGGCTAGTGATAAAGTAAAGGCATTCCCAACTATTTCACTATTTGTGAAAGGACCGTATTTTGATCCACTACCCAACAAGACACTATGCAACAGGCAACTTTACTTATATAATGGTATAGTACAATACAGTAATATATAATATTGATATTGTACTATAATATTGATATTGTACTATGCTAATAATATAATATATTGTATGTATATATATATCTTGTAAGCCACTCAGGATGAGAAGGGCGGAAAAGAAATGTCGTAAATGATAAATAAATAAGTAAATTATATTTGATAGATATAATATACACCTTCTATATTATATGCATAATATATAATTTCCTATATTATGTGGACCATATATGTGTGTGTGTGTGTGTGTGTATATATATATATATATATATATATAATGTTTTATATGCATATTTCATATATGGATCATATATATTTCATATATTTATATGTGCTGCTGAGCTTGTTGACTGAAAGGTCACAGATTCGAATCCAGGGAGTGGTGTGAGCTTCTGCTGTCAGCCCCAGCTTCTGCCAACCTAGCAGTTCGAAAAGATGCAAATGTGAGTAGATCAATAGGTACCACTCCAGTGGGAAGGCAACGGCACTCCATGCAGTCATGCCAATGGCCACATGACCGTGGAGGTGTCTCTGGACAATGCCGGCTCTTCGGCTTAGAAATGAAGATGAGCACTAACCCCCAGAATTGGACATGACTGGACTTAATGTCAGGGGACAACCTTTACCTTTACCTATGATATTATATATGATGTGGATAATATATATTTCATATATTATATGGATCATATATATTTTATATATTATAGGGTACTATATATTTTATATATAGTAGGGAATCACATATATATTATACATGATATGGATCATATATATTGTATATGTTATATGGGCCATATTTTATATATTATATGGATCATATATATTTTATATATTATAGGATACTATATATTTTATATATGGCAGGGAATCACATATATTTTATACATTATATGGATCATATATATTGTATATGTTATATGGGACATATTTTATATATTATACGGATACTATATATTTTATATATTATGGGGTACTATATATTTTATGTATGGTAGGGAATCACATATATTTTATATATTATATGGGCCATATTTTATATATTATATGGATACTATATATTTTATATATGGCAGGGAATCTCATATATTTTATATATTATATGGATCATATATATTTTATATGTTATATGGGCCATATTTTATATATTATATGGATGCTATATATTTTATATATGGTAGGGAATCTCATATATTTTATATATTATATGGATGCTATATATTTTATATGTTATATGTGCCATATTTTATATATTATATGGATACTATATATTTTATATATGGCAGGGAATCTCATATATTTTATATATTATATGGATCATATATATTTTATGTTATATGGGCCATATTTTATATATTATATGGATACTATATATTTTATATATGGCAGGGAATCACATATATTTTATACATTATATGGTTCATATATATTTTATGTTATATGGGCCATATTTTATATATTATATGGATACTATATATTTTCTATATAGTAGGGAGTCTCATATATTTTATATATTATATGGATCATATATATTTTATATGTTATATGGGCCATATTTTATATATTATATGGATACTATATATTTTCTATATGATAGGGAATCACATATATTTTATACATTATATGGTTCATATATATTTTATATGTTATATGGGCCATATTTTATATATTATATGGATACTATATATTTTATATATGGTAGGGAATCTCATATATTTTATATATTATATGGATCATATATATTTTATATGTTATATGGGCCATATTTTATATATTATATGGATACTATATATTTTATATGTTATATGGGCCATATTTTATATATTATATGGATACTATATATTTTCTATATGATAGGGAATCACATATATTTTATACATTATATGGTTCATATATATTTTATATGTTATATGGGCCATATTTTATATATTATATGGATACTATATATTTTCTATATGGTAGGGAATCTCATATATTTTATATATTATATGGATACTATATATTGTATATGTTCTATGGGCCATATTTTATCTATTATACGGATCACATCTATTTGATAGTACATGTATGTTGTATGACCTTCCTATCTAGGGTCTGTCTGGTTGAAGGGCCCCTGTCTTGCTAGTCCAACTGAATTCCCGAGTGGGGAAGCCTGTTCCCACCCAGCCTGGAAAGTTTGCCAAGCTGAGCCTGAAACTGGGGAAGCCCTTCTTTCTGTTGCTCAAGGCTTCCCTTCCCGGCTGGAGAGTTAGCCCGGTTTCGCTCCCCGCCCTCCTTCCCTCCCGTGGAGACGCCGCCGGGCCCCACCCCTCGGGGGTCCCCCTCCCTCCCTCCCACCCTCCCTCCCTCCTGGGCTGCCTTTGGGGCGGGAGAAGAAGGCGGACCCTCCCCATTGCAAGCTCCCAGCCCAAGCCCGGCAATTGCGCCCAGAGTCGGCACTCCAAGCCAAGGAAGGAAGGAAGGAAGGAAGAGAGAAAGAAGGAGAGATGCTCTGCAAGCGGCGCCTCTTCTCGGTGGAGGAGCCCACCTGGAGCCCAGGTGAGTCAGCCTCCCCACCCCACCCCACCCCACCCCTTGGAAAAGAAGAGGGAGGCAGCGGGGGTCCACCCGCACGGCCACGTTATGCCGCTTTCGTCCCAGTTTCATCGCAGCAGGCTCAAACTCTGCAGTCAAAATTGTGAAACCAGATTGAGCCCCCCCCCCCCGATTTTGGGAGAGGGTCTCAGACTAAGCATTAGGCAACATCATATGCCCAAGTGTGAACACTGGTGGAGTTGTAGTTCACCTCCATCCAGAGAGCACTGTGGACTCAAACAAAGGTAGAGCTAAACCAAACTTGGCATGAATACCCAATATGCCCAAATGTGAACACTGGTGGAATTTGGGGGAAACAGATCTAGGCATTTGGGAGTTGTAGTTGCTGGGATTTGTAGTTCGCCTACAATCAAAGAGCATTCTGAACCCCACCAATGATGGGATTGAACCAAACTTGGCACACAGAACTCCCATGATCAAGAGAAAAAACTGGAGGGGTTTGGTGAGTATTGACCTTGAGTTTGGGAGTTGTAGTTCACCTACATCCAGAGAGCAACATGGACTCAAACAAGGATGCATCCTGGACCTAACTTACCACAAATATTCAATATGCCTAAATGTGAGCACTGGTGGAGTTTGGGGAAAATAGACCTTGACATTTGGGAGTTGTAGTTGCTGGGATTTATAGTTCACCTACAATCAAAGAACCTTCTGAACCCCACCAATGATAGAATAGGGAAAAACTTTCCACATAGAACTCCCATGACCAAGAGAAAATCCTGGAAAGGTTTGGTGGGCATTGACCTTGAGTTTTGGAGTTGTAGTTCACCTCCATCCAGAGAGCACTGTGGACTCAAACAAAGGTAGAGCTAAACCAAACTTGGCATGAATACCCAATATGCCCAAATGTGAACACTGGTGGAATTTAGGGGAAATAGGCCTTGGCATTTGGGAGTTGTAGTTGCTGGGATTTATAGTTCACCTACAATCAAACAGCCTTCTGAACCCCACCAATGATAGAATTGGGCAAAACTTTCCATACAGAACCCCCATGACCAAGAGAAAATCCTGGAAGGGTTTGGTGGGCATTGACCTTTAGTTTTGGAGTTGTAGTTCACCTACATTCAGAGAGCACTGTGGACTCAGACAATGGTGGATCTGGACCAAACTTGGTTCAAATACTCAATATGCCCAAATGTGAACACTGGTGGAGTTTGGGGAAACTGGACCCTTACATTTGGGAGTTGTAGTTGCCGGGATTTATAGTTCACAATCAAAGAGCATTCTGAACCCTACCAACGATAGAATTGGGCAAAACGTCCCACACAGAACCCCCATGACTAACAGAACATTCTGTGTTTTCTGATGGTCTTTGGTGACCCCTTTAACACCCCCCTCGCGACCCCCTCAGGGGTCCTGACCCCCAAGTTGAGAAACACTGCTTTAATGCAAGCGGTGAGTACCATCGGTGCCCGCATCTCAATCCGCACAGCCACATTATGCCACTTTCGTTTCAGTTTCATTGCAGCAGGGTCAGTGAAACTGACTGGTAAGTCAAAAGTGTGAAACCAGATTTAGCTCTCCTTGATTTTGTGAGAGGGACTAAACAAGTATGTCTGACACCTGTGGCATCTGTAGGGATTATTTACATTTGTCTATGTACTCCTCTGCCTTTTGATGGCTACTTAAAACAGTCAATGTTCAATGTTCCATTCATGTTGGGAATCACTGGGTTGTTGTGTGTTTTCCGAACTGTCTGGCCGTGTTCCAGAAGCATTCTCTCCTGACGTTTGGCCCACATCTATGGCAGACATCCTCAGAAGTCTAAAAAACTTACAGCCCAAAAAACTTACAGCAACCCAATGAAAGGATTAGTTTGCTTCCGTGTGAGAGGTGTCAGTCTGAGAGAGCCCTCAGTGTGAAGTAGGCCTCAGTGGGAGAAAAGTCTCATAAGAGAACCCTCAGTGTGAGAAGGCCTCAGTGTGAGTAGGACTGGTGTGAGAAGGTGGTGAGGTCTGGAAAATGGGGTTTATATATCTGTGGAAAGTCCAGGGTGGGAGAAAGAACTCTTGGTTGTTGTAGGTTTTTCGGGCTATATGGCCATGTTCTAGAAGCATTCTCTCCTGACGTTTCTCCTGTATCTAGGGCAAGCATCCTTAAGGTTGTGAGGTCAGGAGAGAATGCTTCTAGAACATGGCCATATAGCCCAAAAAACCTACAACAACCCAGTGATTCCAGCCATGAAAGCCTTCGACAATAGAAAGAACTCTTTTCTGTTTAAGGTAGATGTGAGTTTTGCAATTGCCCACCTTGATTAGCATTGAATAGCTTTGCAGTTTCAAAGCCTGGCTGTTTCCTGCCTGGGGAATCCTTTTTTTGGGAGGTGTTAGCTGGCGCTGGTTGTGTTGTCAAAGGCTTTCATGGCTGGAATCACTGGGTTGTTGTGAGTTTTCCAGGCTGTCTGGCTATGTTCCAGAAGCATTCTGTCCTGAGGTTTCTCCCACATTTATGACAGGCAGCCTCACAACCTCTGAGGATGCCTGCCATAGAAGCAGGTGAAATGTCAGGAGAGAATGCTTCTGGAACATGGCCAGACAGCCCAGAAAACTCACAACAACCTAGTAGATGTTCATTTGCTTGTTTTTAAAGTATGCCTCAAGTTAGGAATCAGGTCCATGCGTGCATGTAGTTAGTAGTACATTTGCATGACAATCAAATGATAACGAGTTTGATTGGTGGTCTTTTAGCCTTGTTAATACCTATTGCAGTGTTTCTCAACCTGCCACGACCCCTTAATACAGTTCCTCATATTGTGGTGACCCACAACCAAAAAATTATTTTTGGTGCTACTTTGTAAGTGTAACTTTGCTACTGTTATTAATCCTAATGTAAATATCTGATATGCAAGATTTTCATACACTGGACCAAATTTGGCACAAATACCCGATCTGTCCAAATTTGAATACTGGTGGGGTTGGGAAGGGATTGATTTTGTTATTTGGGAGTTGTAGTTGCTGGGATTTATAGTTCACCTACAATCAAAGAGCATTCTGAGCTCCACCAACAATGGAATTGAACCAAACTTGGCATACAAAACTCTCATGACCAATAGAAAATTCTGGGAGCGTTTGGTAGTCATTGATCTTGTGTTTTGGAGTTGTAGTTCACCTACATCCAGAGAGCGCAGTGGACTCAAACAATGATAGATCTGGACTAAACTTGGCATGAATACTCAATATGCCCAAATGTGAACACTGGTGGAGTTTGGGGGAAATAGACCTTGACATTTGGGAGTTGTAGTTGCTGGGATTTATAGTTCACCTACAATCAAAGAGCATTCTGAACTCCATCAACAATGGAATTGAACCAGACTTGGCACACAGAACTCCCATGACCAACAGAAAATACTGGAAGGGTTTGGTAGTCATTGATCTTGAGTTGTAGTTCACCTACATCCAGAGAGCACTGTGGACTCAAACAATGATAGATCTGGACCAAACTCTACACGAATACTCAATATGCCCAAATGTGAACACTGGTGGATATTGAGGAAAATAGACCTTGACATTTGGGAGTAGTAGTTGCTGGGATTTATAGTTCACCTACAATCAAAGAGCATTCTGAACCTCACCAACGATAGAATTGCGCCAAACGTCCCTCACAGAATCCCCATGACCAAGATAAAGTATCATGTTTTCTGATGGTCTTTGGTGAACCCTTTGACACCCCCTTGCGACCCCCCTCAGGGGTCCCGACCCCCAGGTTGAGAAATGCTGGCTGAAGTGACTGAGAGGGAAAAAGAAAGGGCCAGAGGCTGTTAGGAATGGCGGGAGTTGAAGTCCAAAACACCTGGAGGGCCGAAGTTTGCCCAGGCCTGGGTGCACCCTTCTTCATTCTGCAAGATTGTAATTTGAAGACCTTGTTGATTTCCAGTTTTCCTTCTTATTGGCCCTGGCATTCAGAAAGCCAGCACTGATATTCTTAAAGAGGTGCACATGGAGAAGAAGAGGAAGGAGGAAAGAAGGATGGAAGAAGGAAGGAAGGAGAAAAGAAGAAGAGAAGGAAGGAATGAAGGAAGGGAAGGAGGAGGAGGAAGAAGGAGGAGGAAGAAAAGAGAAGGAGAAAGAAGAAGAAGGAAGGAAAAGGAGGAGAAAGAAGAAGGAAAAGGAAAAGAGGAGAGAAGGAGAAAAAAAGGAGGAGGAAAGAAGAAGGAGAAAAAAAGGAGAAAGAAGGAGAAAGAAGAAAGAATGAGAAAAAAGGAGAAAAAAGGAGGAGAAAGAAGGAGAAAGGAGGAGAAAAAAAGGAGAAAGAAGAAGGAAAAAGAAGAAAGGAGAAGGAGAAAAAAAGAAGGAGAAAGAAGAAAGAAGGAGAAAGGAGAAAGAAGGAGGAGAAAGAAGAAAGGAGAAAGAAGAAGTAGGAGAAAGGAGAAGGAGAAAGAAGAAAGAAGGAGGCAGAAGAAAGGAGAAGGAGAAAGAAGAAGGAGAAAGAAGAAAAGTAGGAGAAAGAATAAAGGAGAAGGAAAAAGGAGAAGGAGAAAGAAAAAAGAAGGCGGCAGAAGAAAGAAATAGAAAGAAGAAACAAATAGAAAGGAGAAAGAAGAAGGGAGGAAGGAGGAAAGAAGGATGGAAGTAGGAGGCAGAAGAAAGAAGAAGGAGAAAGAAGAAGAGGAGACAGGTTGGGGGAATCTTTGTTATCTGGGAAGGCTTCATCTCCTGGCAGCTGCCCAGTTGAGAGCTGATCAAACAATCTGTTTTGCAGGCAGCCGGTGTGTTTCTTCTCCTTCCCCGGCCCCCGCCTGCCCTGTTAAGCACTTGGCTGGCTTTGGAGAGTAGCGGAGTCTCTCTGTAGTGGAACAATTGGGGCTCGCTGCCCTTGATATGAGGCTGTACTGGTTTCACTGGTTGCAATTATGCCCCAAATTGGAAGGCGATGGCAGATATGTCCCTGCGCTGAGCCTTTCTCCTGTCAGTCGCCCTCCTTGGGCCAGGCATTCTTCCACAGTT